AGGCACCTGCCGCCTTGTGGCCAGGGGAGCCGCAGTTTATAACAGCGGCTACCCCTGTCCACCCGCGAGGTGCACCGGTGCCATGTGTGGCCGGCACACAGACACCGGTAGCACCTCGCTACCCCCAGACATGGTCATCTTATTTTATTCGGAGACAACTGTAAGCAACAACTAACTAAATTCTAATTTTTAATTCTTAATATTTTACACATACATAAGTCAATTTTTATTTTTTATTTTATATTGAATTTTTAAATTCAGCTTATAATATTTAAAAAAACTTGGGGATGATGGACACGATCATTGCCGAACTGACAGCCTTTCGCCGACTAACGATGAGCGGTTGGTTTGGGGCAATATCTAAGTGCCACTCCAAGTTTTTAATAATAAGTTTAAAATAATATGGATTAGCCGGATTAATTATTGTAAATTTGACTTTTGCATTAATTGGGACTGTTCGTGTTGAACTGTATTTGATAATTTAAATTTATTGTTAGCGTATTTCGTCTTTTTAATTTTGACATGAGTATTTAATTTAATTATTTTGACATTATATTACGACTTTTTATTAGAATTTTTATTTATATTTATTTAATTATTATAATGATTATTGCGCACTGAAGAACACTGAGTACAGGTCGAAAACGTTTGTAATGGTTTATTTTAAATTAAAGTTTTCCAAGATTATAATATTTTTTTAATTGCTCGTTACAATGGCCTTATATTATTTGATAATTATCATGAAGAACAGTTTTAAACTGCGCAATAAAACGCGGTAAAATCTCTATTATTATCAAATGTGGGACAAAAATTGTGATGTATAATAATAGAATAGATATTATAAAACCGGAGGCAATAAATATGTTAACATTTTCAATTATTATTGTAACAGATTCAAGTTACAAATATAAAACATTTTAATTGTGAAATAAATTAGGCTATTTCTGACTTTCAATCATACACATAACATTTTATACAGACGAACTTTTTTATTTTTTTGACATTTTTATAATTGTTATCCATCTGGTCAGTCGCCAAATCTTGGAAATATTATATAAGTTTTATCAAAAAAACAGTTGACGTGATAAGAAATTTGACATATTCTTCGCCTTTGCACAAAGGACGAATTGTTTGTGATCGTGACCGCGTTAATCTTATGTTCCGTGATCAATTTGACTTTTCGTAATGCTTTCGTGAGTTTTATAATATTTGTTTGATTTATAATTTTTATTTCACAATAAAATGTTTTATATTTGCGACTCGACATCGTTATTAATTGCGAAGTGTAACATATTTTATTCTGTCCGTTTTTATAATATCTATTCTATTATTATATATCACAATTTCTTGTCCCACATTTGATAAGAATAGGGATTTTACCGCTTTTATTTGCCGCAGTTTTAACTATTCTTTATTTTGCATATTATTTATGATTTTATATTGTAATCATTATGCATGATTATTATTGTATTGAAGAAGAAAAACTGTAGTATAGTCGAAACGTTTGCGATTTTTTAATATTTATAAGTTTATAATAAATAATAATAACACCTTAGATTGATTGCTCGTTTAGTTGGCCTAAATATCATTGTATGTTTTTTTGAAATAATTGTTTAATTGATGGAAGCTCCAATTGGATGAATATGTTGGATAATTTAAAAGGGTGTAACGGCAATGCTATGCAGCCAACTAGGTATTTCATCATAAAAACTTTCTGGGGACGGGACCTCCATACACAACTTATCAAACAATTATATACTTATAATAAAATAGTATGGATAGCGTAGTAAAATAAAAAAGTAAATTAATTTAGGATTTTAGGATTGGAAAAATTTGCCGCGCTCGATCGAACGAAAATTCACGATCAGTCGAGAATTTAAGTGAAAGCAATTGCCGCGGGCCTAACACGGCAGCACCTCCGGCACGCACCGCGGGAAGCGCCGCGGAAGCAAATTTTCGGCCAATTAGCGCGTTCCGCGTGTACCCCTCGCGATCAGGCGGTCGATAGCGTGATCGATGAGGGTAGCATTCCGTCGGGGACAGTCGTCGGAGGAGAGAGAGCCGGCGTTGGTCGCAAGTCAGACCAAAGAATTCGCGTTACGGTGTAATAAGTGCGTGAATGTATTATCGCGACAAATACGAACAGATTTGCGCGGTATTGTGTGACATATCGAGAGTGAAGAGTTAACGGGTAATCGGATCTCGTTCGCGACGCAACATACACGTTCTCGCGACGAATTCGCCATTGTCTCGTGCATGCTACGTGCACGTGATCGAACATTACGAGTATTCGGATCCTGCTGGAGGATTCACTGCGATATTCGCGTATCGGTGAATGCATGTCGTGCATCTCTTCTCGCTCGTTCTCTCTCTCTCTCTCTCTCTCTCTCTCTCTCTCTCTCTCTCTCTCCCGCGCGCTCTCTCACAATTGTCGTAGTACGCCGTCGCGACGAACTCGCCGTCGTATTGTGCACGCTGCGTACACGTGATCGACTCCTGCGAATATTCGAATCCTTCTGGAGGATTCTGTGTGATAGTTAATTGCATATAAATGCACGTGATCGAACATTACGAATATTCGGATCCTGCTGGAGGATTGAATGTCACATAATTGAAGACAATTATTAAGTCGCGTCAAATCATATGTGCGCGTGTTCGATAAATTATAACGGTCGTCCACAAGAGGACAAATTTGTTGTTGTACGATTCGCGATCGTGACTTTCAAATAAGACATTGTTTTCTCTCTGCGACAAAAAACATTGGTGTCGATATCGAACAAACAGTTTTTTCTTTTGTGATCGCGAGCTTCGAAACGTGTACAGCAAACGCTTTCGATTCTCATATCGAGTTTTTGTTCTTTTTTTCTTTGATTTGTTTGTGTCAAGTCCAGGTGACTTTCTGACATGTGAAATAATAAATTGATCTGTTTTTGTTCATCAACTTCAAGACTTCTTTTCAATTCGGCTTCCTACGTAAATCATCAATCTCAGCGCACACATGGGTGCGCGATCACCCTATTAAGATACAGTCCACTCAACAATTATCCTATTGTCCATCCATCACATCTCTCATGAGATTCCTATGATTTCTTTCCAATAAAAAAAAAAAAAAAGGGTGAAGGATTGAGAGGCGGCGCGCGAGACGCGGCCCTAAAAAGGCCGAGCATGCTCGTTCGCCGCAGCTTCGCGTCGGACCACGGTTCAAGCCGCGCGTTCGCAACATTTGGTCCTTCGAGCCGGATTTGAGATGGGTGACGAATTGAAAAGTGAAAAACTCAAGTAAAAAAACACAGTGACATTGCAAGTACATTCAAAATCGGATCATCAAACGCTATCAGTGCATTCAAAGAGAGTGACAGCTCGGTTCGTAAAAGACTAATTTGATTAAATTCAGTGTCGTTGAAACCTCAGTTGATTAAATTCAGTGTCAAAATGGAAGAAGCTCTCGCAAATCAACAAACTGCTTGCTATTCAGTTGCTCGAGCTCTCGACAATTTTAAGAAGATCGGTCGGTCAAATCTGACGGCCGCCAAAATTCGCTCGCGAATGACGAGCTTACAAGACACGTGGACACAATGTGTACGCAATCACGCGACACTGCTGCAGCTTGTTCCTGACGAGAAGCAAGTTTCAATTCACTACTTCAAAAAGGAGACCTTCGCCTTCCACGAGGACCTCTATCAGGCAGCTATGGACTACATGAACGAGTGCTTGGAGGAGCTGGTTCCAGTCGTAAGTCGTGTGAAACCTCTTTCAACGCTTCGTTCGCGCATACAGACTCTGCGTCATTATCGGTCAAACATCTTCCTCCCATCAAATTGCCGCCGTTCACCGGTAAGATTGAGGAGTGGGAGACTTTTCGCGATCGGTTTCAATCGCTTATTATAGACAATCGCGAATTATCGAACTTCAGTCGCATGCATTTTTTAGTGTCAAGTTTAACAGGCTCAGCTCGCGATGCGATATCAGGTATTAAAGTCACCGCGGATAACTTCTCGGTTGCGTGGAAAGCATTAACAGCGCGTTTTGAAAATAAGCGCCGATTAATTGAGACTCACATTTCGAATTTGTATAATCTTCCGAAATGACTCGTGAGTCAGCTGTCGAGCTTCACGCCTTACGCGATAAAGCCGAACAAGCGATCTCAACATTGCAACGTCTTAATCGTTCGCCGGACGATATAGTCAGCGACATGTTAGTTTATTTTCTCTCTCAGAAGAGAAGTTCGATCCCGCCACGCGCCGTGCGTGGAAGTTAAAAACGAGCGATATCGAAAATCCGCCAACATACAAAGAAGTATTAAAATTTATTTCGTCGCGTGCTCTCGCGTTAGAGGAACTTCACCCTCGCGATAACGACAAGACCAAGTCACATGCGAAAGTGACTAGCGCAACAGCGACTGCGTCATCTAATATAGTGTGTTCAATGTGCAAGCAATCGCACATTCTCTCAAAATGTCCGCAATTTGTAGCAAAGAGTCCGATTCAGCGACGCGAATTGGTTAAGAAATTTCGACGATGTTTTAATTGTTTGAGTGATAAACACATGTCGATCAATTGTCAAAGTAATTTCACATGTCGAACATGTAATAAACGACATCATTCTATGATTCATCTCGATTCGGACTCATTGCAACAAGTTACAAATGCGAACAATACGTCAAACGCGAATGACGTCATCGACAACGTGCCTAACGTTACGGCACTCTCATCAGTTACAATGACAACTGCGCCGACTCCTGTTGTCTTATCTACTGCAAAGGTGAATTTGCAGGCGCCTTCTGGACGCTCATTGGTTGTCAGAGCCTTGATTGACGGTGGATCAGAGCTCACGTTGTGACGGAGCGCGTTGCTCAAATATTACGTCTCAAGCGTATACGAACGCTTACTTCAACGTCGGGAATAAGCTGCGCTGACACCGGTACATGCCGATCTGCGGCTCTGATTCACATCACTCCTCGCAAAAAATCGAAACCAAGGTTCACAACGGTTGCCTATATTATGAAGGCATTAACGAGGTATGCTCCCAGAAACGCTTCGCAATCGCAAGATTGGAAACATATTTCCAATCTGGAATTGGCTGACGATGATCCTACCGGATCAACACCGATTGATCTCATAATAGGATCCGATTTATATAATCACGTACTCGTTCACGTACGTAACGGACCGCTCGGTCAACCAGGTGCAATTGAATCGCATTTCGGATGGATCCTATCCGGAACAACCTCTATCCCGAATCACGTGACACAACCCTCTCATGTGGTAACTTCAACTCTCGTAATTCCGCCTGTTGAGGATGCGAGTCGCGTCGTGCAATCAGCTCAGTTAAATCAACGTTACAGTGTTGTCGCTCATTGTTGTTCTCTCGAAAATCAATTGTCTAAATTCTGGGAGGCAGAAGAAACACCTCAATCAATTGAAATGTCCCCAGATGACGAACAATGCGAAGAACATTTCAAACAAACGCATTCGAGAACATCGGATGGGAGATATATCGTGCGTCTGCCGTTTCGAAACGGCCCACCCATCGAAATCGGTGAATCTCGCGAAATAGCCGCGCGTCGGCTTTCGTCGTTACTTCGGAGAATTAATAATCAACCTGCGATTAAGCAGGAGTATGCTGAATTCATGAGCGAATACGCACAGTTGAATCATATGAAAGTAATCGCACCGGTGGATTCAGTAAATTCACAAGTCGTGTACATCCCTCATCATCCGGTCATTCGAGAGACTAGTTCGACAACTCGGTTGAGAGTCGTATTTGACGCCTCATGCACAACCTCTAACGGTACCTCGCTCAATTCTCACATGTTTACTGGGCCTAAACTACAGTTAGATCTGCAATCGGTTTTATTACGTTGGCGACAGCACACACAAATACGTTTACTCCGCAGACATAGCGAAAATGTATAGACAAATATTGGTCGACTCGCGAGATAGAGATTATCAACGCATCCTATGGATAGATGAAAATTCGAATATTCAAGAACATCAACTCCTTACGGTAACATACGGTACGGCTTCCGCACCGTTTTTAGCTCTTCGAGTCATTAATCAGTTAAACGATGATGAAGGAAGCTCGTTTCCACTAGCATCTGCGGTTTTAAGCGAGAACGTCTATGTGGACGACGTGCTGTTTGGGGCCGAAGATATGCCTCTCCTTAAACAGACTCGAGATCAAGTTTGCAAATTGTTGAAACGCGGTGGATTCGATCTTCGCAAATGGGCGAGTAACAAACCGGAGTTGCTCTCAGATATTTCATCGGATCATCACGGGCTCGCACAGCTTAAATTATTCGAGACTGACAACAATCTGAAGGTTCTCGGTATTTTTTGGAATCCGACGCACGATTGTTTCCAGTTTCAAATTGAATTACCACAGACTCTCCCTTCTACAAAACGAACGATTCTCTCTACCATAGCCAGAATATTCGATCCACTTGGATGGGTCACACCCGTGGTTCTCAAAGCGAAAGTTTTTATGCAGAAATTATGGCGACACAAGTAGGCTGGGACGACAATCTCTCAGAAGATCTCCTTTTACAATGGAGCGTGATTTATAAATCACTTCCTTACATCAAAAGCATAAAACTTAGTCGCTGGATTGGATGCGATTCAGATACCAAGAGCATCGAGTTACACGGTTTCGCGGATGCTTCCCAAGTAGCTTACGCCGCAGTAGTTTTTTTGAGAGTCACAACATTATCCGGTCATACAACTGTTTCGCTCCTCGCTGGGCGATCCAAAGTCGCGCCTATCAAACCGCTGACAATTCCTCGATTAGAATTGTCAGCTGCGGTCTTATTAGCGCGCCTAATTGAATTCATCAGAAAATCTCTTCATTTCACGAAAATGCCAGTCCATTGTTGGACAGATTCGAGTATTGTGCTTGCTTGGTTAAACAAGCACCCATCTCATTGGAAAACTTTCGTCTCGCATCGCGTAACAGAGATTCAAACACGAGTAGCTGATGGCATTTGGCATCATGTCAGTACACATGAAAATCCCGCTGACTGTGCATCTCGCGGTTTACTCGGCACAGAATTAAGCGCCTTCGACATTTGGTGGCGCGGACCTTCATGGTTGAGTCTTAAACAGGATGATTGGCCCACATTCACAATAACGCCGATAGACGAAACACAGTTAGAAGAAAAACCGTGTCAAGTGCATCAAGTGAACGCTAATGAACCGTGGAATCTCACTACTCGATATTCATGGTGGCCAAAATTAATACGTATTACCGCCTACATTTACCGTTTCATAAGGAAGTGTAGAAAGAAAGAAACACACAATAATCGAACAACAAGTCTCAATATCACGCTCTTACTACAGTTGAATTCAACGAAGCACGAAACTTCTGGCTGAACTTCATTCAGTTAGAACTATTCGAAAACGAGCTCCATAATTTAAAGTCAAACAAACCGTTGCCTACTCACAGTCCAATTCTCTCATTAAATCCGTTCCTGGATTCTGACGGTCTAATTCGCGTTGGGGGGCGATTAGAACACTCGTCATTATCTTTCCAGTCCAAGCATCCAATCTTATTAGCCAACCATACGATCACTACCATGATCATCCGTTATACGCATGTTGTATCTCTCCATGCCGGTCTTCAATCCACTCTTTCAAAACTAGACAAGAGTTTTGGATTTTGAGAGCAAGAAGTCTAGTAAAGTCGGTTATTTATAAATGTGTTCCGTGTACAAGAGAAAAGGCTCAAGTAGCTAGTCAGCTGATGGGCAGCTACCTACAAGTCGTGTTTCGGCGCCCTCTCGAGCGTTTCTACATAGCGGTGTCGACTACGCCGGACCAGTCTTTACACGTGCTTCAGCCGGCCGAGGAATTACCTCGCGAAAGGCCTACATAGCACTCTTTATTTGTTTAGCCACACGCGCTATTCATCTCGAACTGGTTAGTGATTACTCGACTGCTGCCTTTCTTAACGCTTTCAAAGATTTTGTGCGCGACGTGGATTACCAGAGGTCATGTACTCGGACAATGGTACTACGTTCGCGCAGGAGCAGACAAGGAGTTGTCGCAAGCGTATCGAGACGCTCAAAGCGATGTTAACTTTCTCAACTTTATCGTGTCAGATAACATCACATGGAGTTTTATCCCTCCCCATGCTCCACACTTCGGTGGATTGTGGGAGGCAGGGGTCAAAAGCGTTAAATACCACCTTCGTAGGATATTAGGAAATCACACCCTCACTTTCGAGGAACTTACTACCGTGCTTTGTAAAGTTGAAGCATGCTTAAATTCAAGGCCCCTGTGCCCATTGACTGATTCGATTGACGATTTTGAAGTGCTCACTCCGGGTCACTTTTGATTGGATCGGCAATCACAATCAATCCAGAACCTTCTGTTCTGCAAATCAATGAAAACAGACTGTCACGGTGGCAGTTGTTGCGACAGATCACGGAGCGTTTTTGGAAGCATTGGCACGCCGACTATATTAACACGCTCAACAGCGAACTAAGTGGCGAAAGGCAAAGTCACTTATCCATATCGGTTCCATGGTTCTGATTCAAAATCCTCTTCTTCCTCCTTGCAAATGGGAACTCGGACGCGTAATCCACTGTCAACCAGGCTCTGACGGATTAATTCGAGTAGTTTCCGTCAAAACAGCGAACTCGGAATATAAGCGTCCCATAACTAAGTTATGTGTGCTTCCAATCGACGTTGATTCTGACGATTCCATCGAGGATCAACCTCGAGTGTCAAGCAATTAGCGATAATTCTAGTGTAAGTTAATTATACGATTCTAATTCTAATTACGTTATAATTTATGTAGCAAGTAAGTCAAGTTTATGTTCATTAGTTAAGTCAAAGCGTGCAAGTAAAGTCGCCAAGGCGGGCGGGCGGCGCTTGCAATCCTAAGTTTAAGGTCGTGCGAATTAGTACGAACAGCGGATACTGTTGTTTACGCGATCTGCGTGCGTTAAATGTTAAAATCCGTCCGCGATAACAACAGTGATCTTTAGAAGTCAACTTTAAGTCAATATTGTCAGCCGTTTCAGGTCTACAATTTCACTTTAGTGCGATCTGAGCGTAATCAGAAGTTACATCTCAGTATCTTATATTGCATGGGATCAATCGTGACGAACAATCACACGCCAATTAGTTTTCATTTAGCAAACCTCACTCACACGGGAGTGAACGATGCATCCTTGTGTAGGTATACCGCGAGATCGAGTAGTTTCGAAATTCAAATTTCGAGGCGGGCGGTATGTTTAGGATTGAGAAAAATTGCCGCGCTCGATCGAACGAAAAATTCACGGATCAGTCGAGAATTTAAGTGAAAGCAATTGCCGCGGGCCTAACACGGCAGCACCTCGCGGCACGCACCGCGGGAAGCGCCGCGGAAGCAAATTTTCGGCCAATTAGCGCGTTCCGCGTGTACCCCTCGCGATCAGGCGGTCGATAGCGTGATCGATGAGGGTAGCATTCCGTCGGGGACAGTCGTCGCGGAGAGAGAGCCGGCGTTGGTCGCAAGTCAGACCAAGAATTCGCGTTACGGTGTAATAAGTGCGTGAATGTATTATCGCGACAAATACGAACAGATTTGCGCGCGGTATTGTGTGACATATCGAGAGTGAAGAGTTAACGGGTAATCGGATCTCGTTCGCGACGCAACATACACGTTCTCGCGACGAATTCGCCATGTCTCGTGCATGCTACGTGCACGTGATCGAACATTACGAGTATTCGGATCCTGCTGGAGGATTCACTGCGATATTCGCGTATCGGTGAATGCATGTCGTGCATTCTCTCTCTCGCTCCGTTCTCTCTCTCTCTCTCTCTCTCTCCCGCGCTCTCTCTCCAATTGTCGTAGTACGCCGTCGCGACGAACTCGCCGTCGTATTGTGCACGCTGCGTACACGTGATCGACTCCTGCGAATATTCGAATCCTTCTGGAGGATTCTGTGTGATAGTTAATTGCATATAAATGCACGTGATCGAACATTACGAATATTCGGATCCTGCTGGAGGATTGAATGTCACATAATTGAAGAAAATTATTAAGTCGCGTCAAATCATATGTGCGCGTGTTCGATAAATTATAACGGTCGTCCACAAGAGGACAAATTTGTTGTTGTACGATTCGCGATCGTGACTTTCAAATAAGACATTGTTTTCTCTTGCGACAAAAAACATTGGTGTCGATTATCGAACAAACAGTTTTTTTCTTTGTGATCGCGAGCTTCGAAACGTGTACAGCAAACGCTTTCGATTCTCATATCGAGTTTGTTCTTTTTTTCTTGATTTGTTTGTGTCAAGTCCAGGTGACTTTCTGACATGTGAAATAATAAATTGATCTGTTTTTGTTCATCAACTTCAAGACTTCTTTTCAATTCGGCTCCTACGTTAAATCATCAATCTCAGCGCACACATGGGTGCGCGATCACCCTATTAAGATACAGTCCACTCAACAATTATCCTATTGTCCATCCATCACATCTATCATGAGATTCCTATGATTTCTTTCCAATAAAAAAAAAAAAAAAAAAAGGGGTGAAGGATTTGAGAGGCGGCGCGCGAGACGCGGCCCCTAAAAAGGCCCGAGCATGCTCGTTCGCCGCAGCTTCGCGGTCGGGACCACGGTTCAAGCCGCGCGTTCGCAACAAAATAAT